CCAGAATAATTACCGGGTGTACGAGAGACTCAAATGCAATGCTGCTCACAAACGAAGCTGGCCTGATCCCACTTGAGGTTAAGTCTACCATTGCAACTGCTGTGGCATACGAGAGAGCAAGAAGAGTCCCAGAAGACAACCCGATCCGTGCCTCAGCTGAAGGAACATCAAAAATACGCTTAAAGTCCATCAACAGTTGGAGGGAAGTGGGCCGACAGAGCTCTAATAACGCGGGACTGGAACATCTAATCCGAGAACCCCTGCGACCAGTGAGTACAACTCCCCCGTGGAAGACCCCCTGCAACCTCACAATCAACTCAAAACTTGCAGTGTCTACGACAAAAACAGATCCACCTAATATGCGACGTGAAGCAGCTCTTGAGACCGTGCATCAATTGCCTACGTCCGACCTCGATATCTTCACTGACGGCCATGCCACAGACGGCTACAGGTTATGTGGAGGAGGATACTGGTGTCTAGACAAATCTTCTGGGGAGGAAACATGCGTATCCGTGCCTGGGGACTATACAGAAGCAGCTACCGTGCTGAAACTACCGCCCTGCTCCGCGTACTGCAATGGCTCGAAAAACAACCACGTTTTCAAAGAATCCACATCTTCACAGACTCCCAGTCAGTCAGGTGTTCAACACTTAATGTCCAGAGTGACTGCAGTTTGTACTGAGATAGAGGACAAAATGTGGACCACTATCTGCCAATGCTGTGAAATTCACGGACACCTTCACATACAATGGATACCAGGACATTGCGACATCTACGGGAACGACCGAGCTGACGCCCTGGCCAACAAGGGAGGCCACCTCGACCAGTCCTACACTCCAGTCGATATTGCGTCAGCAAACTCGTGCATCTCGCGTTACATCATTGCCCAAGCATGGGAGAAAGCGCGAGTGCACGACTCCGTCGGGGGAAAGGTGAAGCCACCACTGGAGAGGGACAAAGAGAAAGACCTTACCGTCAGACAGAGAAGAGTGTTATCGCAGCTAAGATGCAACGCGAACAGCCCCATCCCGCAGACGTATCTCCATGCAATAGGCTCTGCTCCCAATGATTCCTGTCTGGCGTGTACAAGTCCTGACGACCTGCAGCACGCACTGTATGAGTGCCCGCGGGGGGAAGCACATCGAGGCCCACTTATGGAGAACAACGCGAGACCGGGCCTGGATGTACTCTGGACGAGGCCACAAGAGGTTGCCGCTTACCAGTCTGCCTGCGGCAGACTGCCCCCATCCTAACGGAGGCCAGCCAGAGGAAAGGAAAGGAAAGGCCGTGTAGTCGAGAAAGTTGAACGCACCCAACAAAGAACCAATGAGCGCTTTGGTATCTGTGTCAGTGGGGGAAAGTGTGTCGTAAACTTTCACCCCATTGTCAGGGCAAGGAGAGCGTGAGCCCTCGGTACAGTGTTATTTTTTCCCAGTCTTTTACCTTTTTACAAGAAGAGTTTCATTTAGGATGGGCTGTGGGAAAAGGGTTCATCTTCGCTGAGCCCTAAAGATATTTGATTGGCTGCTGGGTTACTATAGTTGTAAGCGATGACAACAGTGATTAGATAAGCGAGCAAGCCGCCTAGTTGATCATCCTGTGTTCATTGCGTGCGATCATAACAGTTTCAACTGCTTATTTCATTAAGGAGAAATTTTCATTTACTTTGGGATAGAGTTGGGGGTGGTAGGTGGGGAGGGGGTAGGGGCTCAAGCCCGTGAGCCCTTCACTACCCACCGCCACTGTATATGCATGATGTAGACTAAAGTACAGGAGTTTGACATAATAGATATATCTATAATCTAGATCTGGATTTAGATAATAAAAGTGCAGTCAGTTCGTTAGCCTAGATCTCTACTATAGAAAAAAATGTAAACATTGCGGTTATTATTAGGCTACAGATATCTAATTTACCACTGGACTTGGCCAGTGGAAATGTCCAAGGCCTAAAAGGTCATCTATGTTTCCCCTTTTCTTTCAGGCCAACTTAAGAGGTTCTTTCACCCTTTGGTTTTCTGTCTTTAGGGGTATTTAAACCCTTGTTGTAGAAACTTAATGGGTTGTTGTTTTTTATTTATATGTCGGACAAACTAGACTCTAGATCTAGATTCTAGATCTAGATCTAATTCTCAAAAGTCAATTATCTCTTTATTTCATGTTAGGAATTTTTTTCATGTAAACATTTACGCACTGGCTACATTCACGGCGCCCTGAATGCAGTTTGCAGGCACTGTTGAGGCTACGTTCACGGCACTAAAGCTTCGTTTAGACGGAGTGTCCACTGTCGGTCTAAGTAAGCCAGTTTTGGTCAGTGACGACAGTGACGTATATTTAATATTCTGGCCTACTTCAAACGTTCCATCGCATGAGATGAAGGAAAACGAAGCAGTGATCCTTGACCAATCGACCATTTGTCGTTTTCCCTTACACTGAGCTCTGGCTCAGAGCTCGCCTGTGTAATGGAAAAAGACGAACTCTCAATTACGCAACAACCCATTATGATATAATATATTATGACAAAAATGTGTACGCCTACCAAGATGCTTCAATTTCCCTATCTTGCATCCGGGCGCAACCTTGTGTTAGCGTGTTACGACCCGTGATAATAATATATACGAGTGTAAACAAACGTTCAAGAGCTCTCAAGTTGAAAGCGTGCAATTTTGTCTGCGGGCAGTGTGTGTGTGTATATAGTGTGTTTGTGTGTGTGTGTTTAAGAAAGACAGAAAGAGAGTAGG